ATATTAGTGCTGCTTTCTTTGGGGGGGGGGGGCAGAGGGAGCTGCTATCTGCACTTGTCCTTTGCTTCAGCTTCCTTCAGATTGGTCATGTAAATCCCGCAGTCCCTGGAATTTTAGACTCTGCAGTGCTGGTACACAGAAGTGACATTCCTGTCCCTAGCTTCCAGGTTCCTTTAATTTCTAGTAATACCCTTTTCAGTGAAAAGGGACCTGGTGAATGGGGCTTTTTGTTCAGCAGAGGTAGAATAAAAACATATTTGACATTTCTTTGGAAGAGGAACTGACTAAGAGAATCCAGAGCAATTGTTTTACTTCATAGCTGTTTTGTATTCCACTTTTGTTTGTCTTTATTATTTAAATATCAGGTACTCCTGCAAGAAGAGGGAAGTGAGAAACCAATGCCAGGAGGGGGCTGTGCTGTCATGTCACAAAGATTTAGTCTTAGCACGGAAAGAAGCTGTAGCTAGCTTTGAGGTCAGGGATGCTGGTTAAAGCTTAATTTAAGAATTGGCATTGTTCCCACTTACTCTTTGGCAGAAAGATTTTAAAAATAGCCACCTTGTGTTACAACTGGAGCATTTATGGTAGCTACAATTCATGCTGTTTAAGCATTTCTTTATTATTCCATTTTTACTTGCTATAACCTCTGAAGCTGTGGGCTGTAATTTTCAAGATCCACGCTCTGTGCAGCAATGTAGATAAATTTGTACATGGAATACAATTTAATGTAAAAAAAATGCCACATTAAAAAGGTTATGCTTGCCATACTTAGGCACTTAAGCCAGGATATGTCAAAGTTAAAGGGTATGCACAACTTCAGCTATTCCCCAGGGCTAGGTACAGATGTTACACCAGTGGTTGGCCATATTTTTGGGCAGAGTGCCAAAAAACCCTGCAAACTCAACTTGGAAGATGTTGGCATGCTGAAGTAGATGGTGGGGGAACTGCAAGAGGCCTGTTCCTTGTTGTGGCAGTGCAGCCCCAACCCCTTTCCCACCATCCACCCCAAGGTGTGTGCTAAGCAAAATGCCTTTGTGTGCCACACTGGCACCCATGCCTACCCCTGCGCTACACACATCACACATTAAGCAGGCAGAAAGTACTTTAAAGCAATAACTAAACAGACATTAACAGCTCTTGGAGTGTTTTAAAAATGGCAGATTGCACTCTAAGTTAACCTTGATAGATGTGTACAAACCTAAAGCACTTTCTGTTAAAGCTTTTTGTCGAATATCGAGATCCCATTGAGGATTAACTTAGGAGTGTGATTGCTGCCATCCCAGGCAGTGCTGTGATCTAGCCTTGGGCAGAAAGTTCTGCTTGGAGCCTGGGCTGGCCCCACCCCCTCAGCTGTCACTGACACTGTCCCTGCAGTCCACAGCTGCTTGGTGGTAGGGAGGGCTATGGGGAAGGGGTTTGGGGTCTCTCCCCTTCCAGCTGCTACTGAGTTGCCAGCTGGCCGGGGACACGCACATGCGAAAGGGGCCACTCTGGTAGCCTCTTAATAGGAGACACTAGACAGACAGTGTAGATTATAAAACACATCTTTTAAAATGGTTTGTGAAACAAAGGCTTCAGAGGAGCTCTTGCCTCACTCGGGACACATTGTATACACAGACTTTAATTAACTATCCTGCATACACATAGTACAGACTGCACTGCATGGGTATTTAAAATTGCAGAACTGTTCTAAAATAACAGCACTGAGAATCAGTACATGATTATGCAGTTAGACTCCTTTGCAATACAAATGCAGCCAGAATGACAGCTCTCACTGCATGTAGGGAGAAGACAGCCATTTCCTAATGAAGCAATCCTAACTTCATAGCAATGAAATTTTAGGGGATCTAGTTACAAAGGGCAAACTTGTATGGCCCCTGCAATTCATATTTAATGTGGAATTAAGTTACAAATATGTTTTGAAACAACAAAATTCCTCTGAACTTGCTCTTACTGCTCTAAGTAGAGGAAGAAAACTGGTATTAGCGGTAACAGCAAATGCAGAACCTCAAGTTACTTTGTTTTGTGGGTAAAGCAGATCAAAAGCATGAATTTGCAAAGTGTGGGTAAAAGGCAGTTTTGAAGGCCCAATCCTGAGGGTGAGGCAAATTGTTCCCCCTCTGCTGGTTCATATACCATAAGAGCGGCTTACCACTGCTCCCAGCTAAGTGAGTTACTCTACCTCCAAGGGAGGAGGATCTACTCAACAGTTACTTTGCTTCAGTCTTCACAAAAAAATTAAGCTGCAGCCAGACACCTAATAATAAGGATTATGTGGATGAGGAAAGGAGCAATCTGAGGGAGGAGATAACAAGAGATTTTGTTGAGTCTGAATGAATTCAAGACAGCAGGGCTTGATCTCCTTTGAAAGAGAAACTACTTGGGTGAATGAAGGGAATGCTGTGGATATAGTGAATCTGGTCTTCAGCAAAGCTTTTGACAAGGTCCTACATGATCTCAAATTGGAGATGTATGGGCTAGATAAAATTACAACAAGGTGGATAGATAACTGGCTCAATAGCCTCAAGCAAAAGATGATAATGGGTCCATGTCAGAATGATGGGAGGTTAAGCAGAGTCCCACAGGGGTCTGTTCTGGATCTGGTGCTGTTCAGTATCTTTATTAACAATTTGGATGCTGGTACAGTTTCCTGAGCAAGTTTGCAGATAACAAAATTGGGAAGGACACATTGGAGGATACGAGCACAATTCAGAAGGATCTCAACAGATTGGAAAGTTGGGTTAGACTCTCTAGAGCATGGGTCAGAAATGTTTTTGGACAGTGCTGAAAACACCTGCAAACTCAGCTTGTAAGATGTTGGCGTGCCAGGGCAGATGGTGGGGAGCTGCAAGGGGCCTGATCCTTGTGGCAGTGCAGCCCCAGCCCCTTCCCTGCCTTCTGCCCCCAGATGCGCATGCCAAGCAAAATGGCTGTGCACGCCACACTCTGGCACCCATGCAGGGGTTGCCTACCCCTGCTCTACAGCTAATGGGATGAAGTTCAGTGTGGGCAAATGCAAGGTGGTACATGTTGGAAGCAATAATCAAAAACACAAGATATAAAATGCGTGACACTTGGCTGGATGGCAGCACTGTGGAAAAGAACTGGGTAGTCTGCAGTGTGATACACAGCTGCACTGTATTGGGGTTGAGAAGGAATTTTACTTCATCATCAGATTGGTACAGACAGGGGGGTTTTGATTTCCTCAGTAGTGGGTGACACAACCCCCCTACCTGGGATCTCTTGCACATATATTAACAAATAGAAGCAGGACACTGGCTGGCATGGCTCCCCTACTTTTAATCAGTGGCAGATCAAGGTTTTAGGTCTGTGTTAGCAGTTGGCTTTTATAGAATTTAGATCAGATTCTTTAGGATGGTTTGAATAAATATTGATCCTGCTTCAGGCAGGGGGTTGGATTAAATGACTTTTGGAGGTCCTTTCCAGCTCTGCTTCCCTATGATCTCTAGCTGAGATGTTTTTTTTTTGCCTGCTTAACAACAAACTTTTCCCACTAACTTGAAAAATGTTAGTATTTATATAGATTCAGGCAGGCTAATACTTAGCCATTCCCATCCTCTGTTATCTTAATGCTCCACTTATTAAAATGTCATGGGTAGAGGGGATAGTAACTACATAACTAAATAGCGTTAATGAAATAACTATAAGGATAAGTTTAATATACCATAGATGCAGAATGGTAAAGAAAGCAGTTTTTTTTGCTTCCTTTATCAAGATCTGGTTTATTGTTAATATTAACACAATATTTGGCTATCAATAACTTACATTTCATTGTAACATTTTAAATTTGTGTTAACAGGATTGGTTGATCAGACAACAAGTTTTTTTGTTATATGAAACCTGCCAATGCCACCTTTATTAGTATGCCTATAAAAGAGTATCATAACTGCTTACCTACAACTTTGTTATGCCTTGTGTTAGTCATGAACAGAGAACTACTGGTTATTTAAATAATAATCAAAATAAAGTAAGCTCTTTGTATAGAGGAAAATAGGGTTCATCTTTCTTTACAAAAGAATGAAAGTGATAGACTCTCTACTGTTACCAACCTGAATCACTAAGTAAAACATGACCTCTTCAGTCATGGAATTCAGTTTCCTACCCATCCAAAGCAATGAGATCATACAGCCCTGTTCATAAACTTGCTTATGTCCATTGTGGAAGTTAGGTAACAAGCGCTCCGTTAAATATGGTATTCACTTACTGTCCTAACCAGGTGTGGTATTGCCTTCAAGTCATTCTATCTTTGCTTCAAAGCACCAAGTTCCTCCTCTTCCTTCCAAGAGTTAGTCAACTCAGTTTGCAACCAAAAACTAATTCAGTTTTATTTAAATCATGAAGTAGTGAATGCTGTTAGCTGCATTATACATATGACATTCTTTTCCTGAAAGAAAGATTTTGATCACTTTTGTTGAGATTTGAGTCCAAATATGAAGTCATCTGGTAATGACGCTGAAGCCATCTCTGCTAACTGGTCATCATAAGAGCGGAGGGTCCATAACTTTTCCAGTTCATAAATCTCTCGTGTCTCTGGAAGCATGAGATGGATCACTATGCTACCTGTAGAAGACAAAGTGTCACAATAAAGTAGCAGCAAATGGATAGCTCATCTCTAGTAGGAAACACTAGCACCTTGATATGCCTTAATTATTTCAGGAGAGTGTGTTAGCATGCAGTACCAAATGCTACGAGAACATTTCACTACATTGCTATTTTATACATTTAGTTTTACTTTAGCAGTTTCAAGTTCTTCTACTTGCAATGCTAGTGCCAATCCAATTATAATGGCACTCTGAAAACAAGGGCAAGTTGTTTTTTTCTTTCAGTGTTATGACTCATGACACTGATATGAAGCAAGAACTATACTGGGAAGTGAAAAGTGAATAATCTAGTATCCAGAGACAGAATGGTGAGGTGTATACGTAAAAAGTAGTATCTTATAAGTCCAGACTAGTTATCACTGATGGACAGAAACTTAGGCATTCTCCTATGAAGTGGTACAAGCACAATAGAATGCCAGAAATATATTTAAAATGTATAGGTTTTTTGTAATATATAAAATGGAGCAATAGCCTAGACTGCAAAACTTAAGTAGACTTTGATAAGTTAGTTGCCTGTACCTGTTAGTTTGTATTTACTTTACTCCTTTCAACTTCTCAGCTTGCTTTCAGAACATGGCTTGTATGTAAAATAATAAAAGGAATATCATTTGTGCTATCGGATTAAGTAATTAAGAGTCTGCAGGAAGTTATACATTCTGCTACTTCAGTAGTTCTCAACCTTTTTGACTCAAGCTATCCCTCTTTAGGGTCAAGGCAGCCTTCAGAAAATTCCAGCTCTTAGTTTTCACTGATTTTTTTACTGTAGAAAACAGCAATTTTTCTGTTGCAAAGAACTCAGGAGGGTCACAGCAGGTCAAATGTTTTTAATACTATGAATTCTTATTTGAAATCTTTGGGCTTATCATGTTTTCCCACCTAAGCACTAACACTGCATGGCATTCCGAGAACCTGAAAGGACCTCAAGACACCTCTCAGTGCAATGGCATCCTGGTTGAGAATCACTGTGCTACTTCAGAGTAGAAAAAATGACTTTAAAATAAATAATTGGATTCTTTTTATTTAAATCAGTTTATTTAATCACTTTATTTTTTAAAGATGCTTTTTAAAAAAAAATAAACCTATATCAAGGTAAGTTTTAAGATATGTTAAAGCTCAAAGATAGTATCATGGAATAGGGATAACTTCTAATTATATAGTATTTGAGACAATATATTCATGTAACTTTTTTAGAAAAGTTGTATATATAGGTCACAACAGGCCATGGGCTATTAGGGGCCCACTCTTACTGGGGTTCTCAGAGGCTCCTTTATAGATTAGTAAAAATTAAGGAAAACCACTCTACCCAACAGGACTCGGTGCTCAGTCTAGAAAATCCCATTAAGCATCTCTGTGATGCTTAGTTTCAGTTCTCAAACTGTGGATTTGTGTCTCCAGCTAGAACATGCTTGGATGGGATGGGCTCCACGTTTCCCCAAAAGGTAAGCGAGTGTTCTCTTCTAGGTTGGCAGGTCTCCTGCAACAGGCTTTAAACTAAGCTCATCGGGGGAAGGGGAAGACAAGGGTGGAGGAATCATCGGACTACCAGACCAAGCAACGCCCGCAAGTACAGCCCAGCCTAGACCAACGGGCATAACGTATACACAGGTAAGTGACAAGGGCCAGGGCAATGCT